ATATATATATATATATATTGTTGCATGTATATCTAAAAATTGCTTATATGGTAATTCTAATTAGTTAGAGTTATGTTTTTTTGCTACTTTAGTTATTGAGCTATAAAATGTAGGGAACTATCAAGTCATTATAATTGTCATTATTGTTATTATTATCATTATCACCATTGTAATTATCATTGTTTGTCATTACCATCATTATTATCATCATCATTATTGATACTATGGTCCCCGTCACTATTACTACTTCCACTATAATCCTTAATGTCATCACAATTATCGTCACAATCACAACCATTTTTATTGTCGTCATTGTTGTCACACAAGGTCAATCTTAAAATTTTATAGATTCCAGGAAAACACAATAAATTATGATCATTTTTTTTGTCCATTCGAGATCAAAGACTAATTTTCACTCGCGGGATGTAACTTTTACCGTCTAAACATTATTTTTTAACATAGACAGGATCAAATCTATAAGTATTAGGTCAACTCTCTGTGTCGTAAGATAGGCCTTACAACCCATTTAATATAAGTATTAAAATATAAAAATATATTTTATAAAAAAATAGACATGTAATTTTATTAAAAAAATTGTATGTCTTATTATATAAAGTATAATATAGTTTTAGAGAAGATGAGTAAAGTAATAGTATGGAGTATAATTTTTTTTTAAAACAATTCCTTCAAGTATCAAGTACTGATATTATTAAACGCAATTTCATTTTACAAATACATCAAATTTAGATAATGAATGTAATATATTATTGAGTGCATATATATATATATATATATATATATATATATTCATTTGAAAACAATTTTTAATATTTTTTCAATGCATTATATAGTACGAAACTAAATAACAATTATTTTCTATAAATAATAAATAAATAAAAACGATGATGATAATGACAACAACAACAATGGTAATAGTGATGATTGTGACATTTGTGTTTGTGATTTTAAATAAATAAGTCTCTTAATATAAATTGTTTATTTTAATCTAAAATTTGAGATTGATTATTTTCATTCTCACGTAAGAAGATCACTATCATATGATATATCTTTTATACGTGTGTGTTTTAACTATATTTTTTTTTATCTTCATAACATACTTTTTTTTAAAAAAAATTTATATTTTAATTCTTGTAAAATTATTATTTTTATTAAAATGGTCCTTATAAAATTTTTATTTATTTATTTTGATCCTTGTTATTTTATTTAAGTCCTTATTAAATATATTTTTTATTTTAGTTTCTACAATATTTTATTCATTTTAATTTAGTCTCTTTGAAAATAAATTAACAGGAACTAAAAGCAAATTATCCATATATTACAAAGACAAAAAAAATATATTACAAAGATTAAAACAAAAATAAAAAAGTTCTAAAAGTAAAAAATAAATTTTAACAAAGACTATCTTAAAAAAAATAATAAATCAAAACTAATATATATTTACACGTGTGTTATGCTATTTTTGTTTTAGGTTCGAACCCCTGACCTTGCTTAAGCGTGGATCAACCCCTACTGCAGAATTACATGCTTGAAGTTCGTGTGTTATGCTATTTTTGTTTTAGGTTCGAACCCCTGACCTTGCTTAAGCGTGGATCAACCCCTACTGCAGAATTACATGCTTGAAGTTCGTGTGTTATGCTATTTAATTTCGTATAAAATAAAACTCGATTAAAATTTTTAAAGATTTTACTAACAATCCTCAAGACATTGATTATTGAAATTACAATAAAATCACATGAAAGGACGTGTAGATATATTTTTTAATAAAAAAATTACTTTTGATTCCTTAACTACTCTATTGACTTGGGTACACAGGCATTTTCCAAACTTAAATAATAAAATATAATTTTGTTGAAATTCCTAAATCAGATGCGACATAAGATGAATTCAAACTTCTCAAAAATCTTACTCAACCAGTCAAGCATGCAACGGTGCAACACGCGTGTGGAACTCTCGATGCACTCCTCCCAAGTCTTACCCACGGACCCCACCCCAAAGGCGAGACCCTTTGCTTGATTTCTCATGCTGTGGATAAGAAGAAATTCATAGATATTGGGGCCACATAATTAAACATTATTCATTTTTCATTTGATGAATTAAAAAGCTTAACTATACTCATACAAGAATTGATTGGATTTGGGACCATAAATATGTAATGGTTTGAATTACCTACTTAATAATTCTTTTAGGGACAGGTTTTGAGGAACTTATTTAAATTTATGCAAATAGCATATAATCATTACACAAGTTCTTTCTAGATTATCTCACTAAATTTTATTCAGAAGCTTATCAAAATAAACACTTGATTTATTTCAGCTAGATTCATGGCCAAACAATCTCCAAGGAGAAGACCATTTTGTGTAAAAAAAAAAACATGTCACATAACCATATGAGGAGGACTAGTTTAAGACAAACAGTACAAACTATCACCACCACAATATGTCTGATACTCAAACCCGAGAATGTATCATGGTACACCACTCATATATAGCATGTCACTAGTTACCTATATCAATCAAAAATACTATTCGTAAAGAATGAAGAAGAACGAGAGGAATGTCTGAAGTGTTGGTGTGGAAGCTGTTCTGCCACCAATAGGTAGAAAAGCCCCATCACTCCAGTGTGCCCACGGCTGCTGCTATAGTTAGACTCTAGAGTTACAGTCTCCCCATCAATTATCTTCACAGAACCTGGTTTAGGATAACATGTGGACATTCCTACAATGTAGTTTGCCTCATTTCCTACTTCCTTTCCCTTTCCATAACTTGGTATTGAGGAACATATAACCCTTCCATCCTGATAATGTCAACCAAAAAATTTCATAAAACATGTTACACTACAATATTTAAATTATGAATCAATATTTATAAGAAATTACTAATTGTAAAATTGCTTCTTCTGCTTTCATTGTATACCAATGAAAGAAAAAGATGCAACTACCAATAAATTGCCAGCAAACAACTCACTAGTACATGGAAAGACTGAAGAAAAAAGTAGTGCGAACTTGTAACCCCTTTTAATTTAAGGGACAATGTCATTATTCATTACCATTTCTCATCTTGTATGAATAATTTTTTATGCCAAGCCATGCAACAAAAGGTTAAAAATGTTATATCTAAATATTTAAGAATAGTCGCAATTTTGAACATCACCTGTCCATATAGAGTTGATCCGGTGCCACCTGAATGCTGATGAGCAACACCATAGATGACATAACCACCTTTTTGCATTGGGAGGCTTGTCCTCTTCACATGATTACAACCATTACCATCCTTGTGGTCAGTGCTGCAAGATTCAACCTCATACTCAACCTATAACAAAGAAATATCTGTTAACCACTTATGCCTAACACAGCAATAGACTAGTATATGCATGTCTCTTGATGAATTCACTTACTCGGCAATCATGCTCAAAATTCCCTCTAGAATCATCTGATATTTTTAAAGTATCAGTCACATCAAGTATATAAATCTTAGCAGGCACTATAAACTTGTCCCAGTCAACCCACTTTACTGTGTATCTCAGGTAGAGGCTCCTCTTTGGGCCCTCAAAGCCTTCCCTCAACCTGCAATGGGTATCATCATAGCAACAATACAAACCTCCTTTATAGTCTGACCTTAGAGGCTCCCCGTATTCATCCTTTGTAACGTTGTAAAGGTCACACTTGCACTCAGTGCACCCCATCTTATCCACTACACCACGTGTATCAATTGCATGAACATTGATCATCCACATCTCCTCATACCCCTCTGGAATTTCTTCAGGGTTACCTACAACTATTCCAAAAGGATCCGGAACATCCGTAGCAGTTCCTCGCGTTTCAGATCCAAGGCCATAATATTGTCCCAGAGCATTTCTTTGGCATATGCCACTGTTCCTCACCATGACGTAGTCAGACTCAGAATCGTGAAGTATCCTATGAGCATCATACCTTGTGTGTGTCGTCAAATATTTTGGTTGATAGTACCTTGCAACAACCCAGTGGTGGAGATAAGTTTCATGGAGAGGCACAGGGTTCCCTGCTTCATCAACTACTTCAGCATTGAAACTCTTAAGTGCAATATGACCTCTTGGAAAATCAACATCATCATAATACTTATTGGCAACCGATCCCGGTCCAAGTTCAAACTTGGGGGACAGAAAAACCGCTGATTTCACATTACTTTCAGTCTTCCCGAAGGCACATAAGCATGGTATCAGCACAAGTATTGCCAGAGGCAAAAACAAACCTCGAGATACAGAACGCATGTCGATATCTGTCAACAAAATCTTAATCAGTTTGAAAATTATATTAAACAGATTAAGATTGTCAAGGGAATTCTCAATTCTGCAACCAGAAATGATCAAACAGGGAATCTGGGTATACACAAGCATATAGGATACAACTCAGCAACTATAATTAAACCAAACATAGTTCGCATCGCAAAACAAAATTCAAAACAAGAGCATACACGGTGGTACCTACTCAATCAAATACAAAAGCGTGTTGAAAAAATATAACTGTACGAGAAGTCAACCTATGAACAGGATTATGATGCAAACTTGAGGGCAAACAAAAGAACTAAGAGAAAGAAAAGGCTATATATGACTATGAAGAGAATTTAGCATGCAAAGCAATGAAAAGGGAATAATAAGTGAGGGAAGAGAATAAAAGACTATGCCAGAGAAGCTAAGCAGAGGATATGATGATGATGAATACAACGAGAGTATGGAGGAAAATGGAATTGCGTACTGCAAACACTGAGCCAAAAAGACACGACAGTTGAAGGCTTTGTTTTGCTTGACGAGATACATTGTAACATGATCCAAGCAGATGTATTTTATAGACAAACACTTCTCCGAAGATAATATTACAGTCTCAATCTTTTCACACTTCGGAAAGTGAAATGTGATTTTTTTTCCTGCTTTCTATTCATTTCGTGTTTTATTCATCTTTCGATACGTTGGGATTTGAGACAAGTGTAGAGAGCACATGCTGTGACGAAATTCAACATTTGTTTTCCATCCGTTAAAATTCCGACCATGGCTACATACAATTCAACATTTTGACTCTATTCATAATAATTATATGTATATTTTTCTCTATCACCTCAAATTGTTGATTAGATTTAATTAACTTTTTCATACGTATAATTTTATAAATTTTAACTGATAGTTCTTATAATTAAAAAATATTTGTTTTAATACATGTTATTTGTATTTATTTTTAGTTCATGTCATCTATTATTACGAGGATCAATAGTCTATTCGAATAAACCTTTTCAAGAAAAAAAATCCAAATTTTTTTTTCGGGATAAAACTGACTTGTATATAGATTAAAAATATTTTGAAAAAATTAAAAATGTGTTCAATAAAATTAACTTATAAATTTACAAGTTAGGAATTAAAAAATTAGAAACCTATAAATTAACTTATTAAATTAAATGTATTTGGTATAATTAGTTGATTAATGTAAAATGACGTATTTATTTAATAATTAGAATGAAAAAATAAGATATAATTAAAATAGTTTCTGAATTGAAAAAGGGTAAAAAAAATCAAATAAATAAATTAAAAAAAAAAACTAAAAACTAAAAACTTATTTTGGTCAAATTAATTTATCTATACTAATATATAAAGGGATACTCTTTTTGGTAACTATCTTGGTCTCCACTTTTTTGGACCATTATACCCTTTTATGTTAAAAAATTAGAAAAAATATTTTTTAATCAAATTTAAGAATTTGAAACTAATAAATCAGTTTTACAATAATTATTTTTGGTTTTCATTTTTACATGAATCATTTTATCCTTTATTTATTTTTTAATAACTATTTTTTTATGATTAACTTCTCATTTTTTTCTTTTAATTTATTATTTTTTTAATTTTTTTAATACAATGCAGGCACGAAGTGCCTTTTTCCTGCTAGTAAGTTAATAAAAACAATTTATATGCTCCTTAAATGCGATACCAAACACGCTTAAATATGACAAAATTTTTATAAATTAATTTTAACTTATAAAAAACAATTCATTTTTTATTTTTACTTTACCTAGATAAAATTTGTGAAACTACATAAATTAAAAAGAAATTAAAACGGTGCGTATAAAAACAAAAATATTTTTAATTAATTATAAAAGCTTAAAAGACCTCATGAATATAGGAAACAAAAGGATATTCCAACTTATTCATTATATTCTTTTTCTATAATTATCTCTTTTTGATAGAGTGAGCGAATAGCCCGCGGTATTCATTTATTTATGATTTAAGTCGACATCATGAGTCATGACATGCAATTATGCCGTCTATTATAAATTAACTATTTGTTGCTTTTACTTTTTACGGATCATATGCAGATATATTATATAAAATCATAGATATGTTAAAATAAATTAATGTTTTTAAAATAAAATAAATAAATAAATAAAGAGCTCAATAGTCGCATTCCACATATGTGAATGTGAAAATTGAATTGGGTTATTCTAAAAGTGCATCCTACACTTTAAAGTATAAAGAGCATTTTACTCTTTAGAAGATAAAGTGTAGAAGTTTTAATTAAAGTAGTGAAGTTTTATAAATTATTTATGAATTTAGGGTAATTTCCAAATATAGGGCCGCTACAAGAGATGTCACAAGTCAAATTTATGTGTCCTGTAGTTTTTTTTTCTTTCTTTTTTTCATTCTTTTCAATTTTTTAATCAACTTTTTTATATGTGGATCACGTGGAGACCGCATAATTAGTATGTCTCTTCATTGGATACATAATTGCTCTACGTTTTTTCATGATGGTTTTTTTTTAATGTTTACGCAATTTAGCTTTCTAATGACTTGTCAATGGTTCTTATATTAGACGACATAATTATTAATAACAAAAAATTATCTAATGATTTAAGATTATAAGAATTATACTAATACTTGAATATGTATCATATATAAGGTATATAACAATACATCAATTATACAAGTTATATATATAGTATAGATATAATGAACTACTCAAAAGAAAATTATACAGTCTAAATTACTGATCAAATAACTTATATGCATCACTATACAACTTTCATTCAAGAGTAGCTTCAAAATTACGGAACAAATAGTTCTAGTACCTCTTAGTGGTCTCCATTGCACAACTCTTAGGACTAGCCTATCCCTACCATGTTTTCATATCACGTACGATCATTGTAATCTAAATCACATGAAAACACATAAGAGTAAGTTAAAATTACAAAAATAACATGAATACAACACAAAACATCAACAACATTAAGTATATCAACACATCTTAATTGTATCTTCAATAGTATCAATGTATAACATCATAATGTAACCAACACTGTCAAGACAAGCAACTTAATATGTAGCAACCCAAGGTTAGCACATGCAACCCACACCATCTCATAATTCAACACCTCAACATGATTCATTTTAAATCAATATTTCATATAAATAGCACAATTTAAACAACGCATCACAAGCACAACACAATAACTATATGTATCATCAAACATTTCTACTAGGAGATCTCTTACAATACAAGGTGAGCAGTTTAAGTGGTTTGACCATATTAAATCAACAACACAAGGTAATCTTTTTTGACTTGTTAGATCAATAATAAATTGGATATCAATCCACAACACGATAACTTGGTTTCTCGAATATTGTCACTTAAACAAGGAAGTCTAGTACTACTATCAAGGTATAACGACTATGTATAAGTCTACCACGACATTAGCTAGCTTAACTAAGTCTCTTATGAAAATAACTCACAAACTACCTTCCAAATACTCCACCCTTCCAATACTCAATTAGGAACTAAGTTTTCAACTTTGTACTTTACTCAATTTGATCGTTTTATACATGTGTACCTTTACCTTGCCCACACACAGTACCAACTAAGTCCTAGAGGAAATTCAACACTATAATTCTTTTCAAGGGTCAACTTCCCAAGAGGGGTTTCCAACAAAGTTGGGTTCTTGGAGCACCACGACAAAATATCTATACAATAGGATATGCAACTTTTAAAACCTCTCCTATAGTCCTACGTTAGTCATCACAACTCAATAAAACACCATGCTTAAATTCCTAAAAAATTCTCAAAATTCATCATCTCAACAACACAACAACATCACACATTTAGCAATTTCAACACAGTTATACAACCCACAGCCTACAACTTAAGTCCACTTTCAACTAACAACTCACAACATAATTCTCATTATACAACATATAAACTTTCAACATATTAATTTTATTATCATGCAACGTCATCCATACAACTCATTCATCACCATTTATTAATAAAAAAACTAAAAAAATGTTCTACATACAACTCATTCATCAAGTAAAATCAACTCAATTAAAAAAAATTGATTAAGTTCTCACGCTAAGTGTGAAATCTCACATTAAGCGTCAAACTTCTAGGGAGGTATATAAAAATTTTGAAAGTCCCCATGCTAAGCATGAAGCTCTTGCTTAGCCTTAGCTTCCCAGAGGACATCCAACCCTCATACTAAGAGTGGAAATCCACGCTTAGCCTCAACCTTTTAAAAGCACATCCCAGTTCTCACGCTAAGCGTGACAAACCATGCTTAACCTCACATTAAGTTCATAATTCATTCAACAACTCAACATTTAATGTTACAAGTTTTTCTTCTTCCACCACACAACGCCACATGGCAACAAGTTGATGTAGGTCTATTATGCTTCTTCAATCATATACCACCACATATCAAACCTTGATTGGTCAATATTACTTATTAGTGTATTTTATAAGGTAGTTGTTATTGTACCCTTAAAGATCGAGAGATTTTAGTATATTCTCTAATGTGTACCAATAAAATAAATACACGTTATTTAATGAATTAGTATTTTAAATAATTTTTATTTTTATTTAATTTTTTTAATGTTATTTATGTTTAAGTCCTTATTTATTATGCTTTAAAATTAAAAAAAATTATTATTAGTTTAACATTTTTGGATTTGTTGAGGGTGCAATTTTCTAATCAAAGGTGTACATGTTTTTTTTGTCAAAAGGTGCTATATGCGATTTTCTGATCATAAGGGTGTTATATGTGATTTTTTGATCACAAGGTATTTTATGCAGTTTTTCAATTAAAGGGTGTTTTGCAGTTAAAATCATACAATTCTTCACAACCAAATAAGTTTTCGGTGTAGTTTTTCGATCAAAGGACGCAATTTTTTTGATCAAAGGATGTTGTTCGTTGTTTATCAATCAATATGGGTTTGTATGTTGTTTTCTGATCAACGTTAAAACCTTACAATTATTCTCAGCAAAATTGTCATGTTTTTCATTTTATTCGATCTGTATTAAGTTAAACATTATTCTGTTATGTGATTTTACTAGGTGACATCGAAGTTCCTACCTTCATTGTCATCATCAAAGCGCATCACCAACGCAGTACTAGATCATGCCTTAAGAATTTGCTCTGAGTTCAATCTCATCGTGCATTTTCGTTAGAATTTCTTCACATCATAGATAGAATTTCTTTAGTTCGAATCTCCTTCATAAAATTAAGAGTAAAAATTAACATAATCATTAAAGGGCTGAATTGAAAATATAATAATTTTAGTATTAAAATGTAAAATGATTGACATAGATTAAAATTGATGAAAATTGATGATATGATATTGATTGTACCAAAACTATTCGATTATTGATGGAGATTGTAAAAATTCTCATTTTATGATGAACAAGTTACAATAAGTCTAAGGGGTACTTCGGGCAAGATTTATCTGCATTAACAAGAAACTCTCAATGAAATATTAACACTTTTATGTGAATGAGACATCAACAAGCTTCAAGAATGATG